CTGAAATAGTTTTCGAGTCGTTCTCCTACAACAATGTTTTAACCCTGTTCAATTCTCAGTTGCAAGACTAGGGAATCTTCATTCACAGCATTTGAACGGCTTTGCTTAATCCGCCAGCTGGAGAAACCAACGCGATGGAAACCGGTTCGCCGGTTCCTCGTAAAATCGCCAATTCTCGATTACGTAATCGCGTCGTGTGGTTCGTTCGACGCGAGACTCACCGTACAGTCTCTCTGTTATTAATGGAAACGTCTGACGCGTTGATTTAACGCGTCGCCACGCACGGCGAACGTTTCGAAAGTCTGCTGCGATCTTCGCGCCGATCTCGTTCCTCCTCAGCGAGTTGCGTCGATTTCAATGGAGCTCCGCAGGAAAACGTGAACGTTTTTCATTTTCAAAGGGAAAAGTAGTTTGTTTTCTTGTGAAATGTGCATTGCACTTGCTAGAAAGAACACGTGTTTTCTCTCGTGGATCCAATATTCATCCCATTCTATACCTAATTGTAATCACTTTTTGTTATTCAAAGTATATTTTCCAATCAAAGGTGGTTTTTTAGGTTTGCACGAATCGAATATTCATTCGTCTGGCTAATCTCGACTCCATTTTATTCTCGCTCGTATCGCGAAATCTACGCGTAACATTATTCAAACGAAAGATGCTCGCGCAAATTCAGCTGGAACTCCTTTCTTCCGGCCGCGAGGGAAGAGAGAGATCATCCACCGGCCACGGATTTAGGTCTGCCATTAATTTTCCTTTATCTCGCCTTAACCCCTTCCCTCCTCGCCCCTTTTTAATCTTTACCAGGCTGCGCGCGAGGTAAGAAGTTATTACGACGCTTCCTTCCGGCGAGCAGCGCCGTAATTGTTATGATTTTAACAGTGATGTTGCAGCGCTTCTCCCGCTGCTTTTAAATCTCGAAGTTCCGTCACGTCGCGAAGGAGTACGTACACACTACCCGCCAGAGTGTAATATTTCGAACGAAACGAAAATACAATTACATTATATATTATATATTACTCCCTGGTAGTCTCTCCATTTTCTCGAGAAGAACAGTTCTTTTACGGTGGGAAGTTGGATTTACATTGTTCATCTCGGGATGAAATTGGAAATATAGAAATCCAACTGTTGAAAGTATATTTTATCTGGAAATTGATCAAATACTATCTACTTCGTTAATATACGATCTTTGATCGTTTGGCTAACATAATGGCAGGCCATTAAAATTATCGATGTATATATATATATATAAATAGTTACATTTATATGATCGATACGTGTTTCTATCAATTTTTAAAACGTCCTACGATAATATCGCTTTCACTGTCTTCGTCGTTCTCGAAATTCGCTACGTCTCACGCGTCAATTTTCAGGTTCAAATCATTTCAATGTCACTCGAGGGAAATTTGTTACTCGGAACGGAACGATATGACATCTGAACTGATTAAACGACTCTTTCGAGAATGGAATTCGTTTCTTCGTACTTGGGATAAACATAAACGTCAGGTCCAGGTGACGTGAGCGATATCGTAACCGCGTGGAAAAAGTATCGACAGTTCAAGTGACACACGCTACTAGCACACGTTGATGACCGTATAATAACGACCATGTATGTATCACCGTGAATACGAACGAATCTCCATCGTCTGTTCTCGTACAATCTCGGACGAAATCATCTCCGATAGAGAGATCGTTCGATTTCGACTAACGATCACAGCGTCGCGATTTCGTAACAGCGTCGTCTGGAGTTACCTCTGCGGGGTAATAATTGGCACGCAGGGTGGCCGAGGAGGCGTGCAACGGCCGTTAAGGGCAATTCGAACACGTGTCGCGCTGAAACCCTTTCCTCGGGGCAGGGCGCGAACGTTGCAGCGGGCTTAAGTGGGCAACGAGAAAATGGACTGGCAGTGTAAAGTTACCTCGAATCTACAGTTACGGGCATTGTTGCGGCCGTTCTGTTGCCTCTGAAGTGGCTGCTTGAATTACGGCCCTGAAGCCCCCGGCTCGATGGAGCGCAGGGGGCCGCTCTCGTCCTCCTCTCTGTGCACGGACTTAATGCGTGCCCGCGATATAAACATTTAACGCCGGCTCTCGCGAAAGATCGATAGTTTGATCGTAATGGGCTTTGAAACGCGTTCCGATCAATAGGGTTCTGTCGGTCGTTCTGTTGCGCAAACGGGGAGAGAGAGAGAGAGAAGAGGGGATTCGAGAGCCATGCCGATATAACTATGCATGTGTCTGCTGCTGCGTATGAAACGTGTGTGGGAGGTAATGTGGCGGTTTCGCGTTTGCAGTTGTGTTTCTGGCTTAAGGCGATTTGCATCGCTGTGTTGCGCCGAACAACACGTTTCTTCACCCCACGTGTAATCGCTGTTTTCTTTCCTCTCTTTTATTCTTCAGTCGTCACATCTCGTGAAGTTTGAATTACCCTTTATACTTGAATTCATCCGATCTTCGAAATCATAGAAACACAGACTGTTCGATCTCGTTCAAAAAAAAAA